TAAAGTGGACTCAATTTGCACTATTTCTGGCGGTCTGCAACCCCTCTGTAATTTCCTATCTACAGCAACCCTATCCTGGGGTTTCCTTGACCAGATTTGTTCAGAGGGAGTTTGAGGTTGAGAGAGTGTGACTTGCCCAAGGCCACCCCCATGGGTTTCCCCGGAGTGTCCTAGTCCAACACTCCAACCACTTCACCACAGTGGCTCTTTGGATGACGTACGCATCTGCAAATTTTCATTCATCACATCTGCTCTACAGTTTTTTTTAGGTGAAGACAAGAAACAGTTCCACAGTGCCTTAAAAACTCATAAATTCATTTGGATATCAGATTCTGTGCACTGGATTCCATTTCATCAACTGCATGAAGCATCATGTTGTTCCTATACCTCTATGGGTCTATATATGCATATACACTCAGGAGGGGTAGGAAAATGGAAACAGTGTAGGCAAATGACAGTGGCGTGCAAAAATGTACGTAGTCTGTGACCATTCTATGTAAATCTTAAAATAAGCCAATGTGGCTATTTATAACTGGTGATAACAACAGAAATAGAAACAGCATGGTATAGTGGTTTGATTGTCGGATTACAGCTCTGGAGACCAGGGTTCAATTCTCTGCTCAGTCATGGAAACCCACTGACCGATACATATATAGATATGCAGATATATGTGTATATATGTGTGTGTGATACATATATAGATATGCAGATATATGTGTATATATATATGTGTGTGTGTGTGTGTGTGTGCAATTACATAGATACATAGATGATGTATAGAAATGACAGAAGACAATTATCAGATTAAGATGAAATATAAAATAATACAAAATCAAGGACGTGGGATTTAAGACGAAGAAAGAAGATACATATAGAAGACAGAAATGTGGAAGGACTATAAAGAAGAAAAAGAAGAATTTATAAGTTGACTACTGTAAGAAAGTTGTATTTTTATGTAACTTTTTATTTTATAACTGTTTAATAAAGATTTATTTATTAAATAAATTTTTATTTTATAACTTTAATAAAGTCACATTCTCTTAGCCTCAGAAGAAGGCAAGGCAACCTCCCTCTAAACAAATCTTTTCTGAACAAATCTTTTTAACTGTTATAGCACCACTTTAAGTACTGTAGCTCCAGCCTATGGAATCCTGGGAATTGTAGTTTTACATGGTCTTTAGCCTTTTCTGTCAAAGAGTGTGCATGCCCTACAAAACTACAAAGCCCAGGATTCTGTAGGATGGAGCCATGACAGCTAAAGTGGTGTCAAACTGCATTATTTCTACAGTGTAGTAGCCCCTTCCCAGACTCTGGAGACCGGGGTCAACTCCCTGCTCAGCCACTGGGTGACCTTGGGCAAGTCACATTCTCTCAGCCGCAGAGGAGGTCAAAGGCAACCACCCCTCCGAACAAATCTTGCCAAGAAAACACTGTGATAGATTCACCTTAGGGTCACCGTAAGTCAGAAATGACTTGAAAGGCACACAATAGCAAAACAGAATTATATTAGCACTGCTAGATTAATTGTGAACTTGCCGAAGGACTGGAAACCATTATCTCAGTCCAACCTCACATAAACAGAATTAAACTTTGTAAGGAATTCTAATTCAGTCTCTTGAATTAGGATTTCCAGGCCTGGACCTCTGGGTGCCTGGACAGTAAAAGGCAACAACAGTACACTACAAAATAAATGTTGGTTTCTCAAAAAAAACCCAAAAAAACAGAGAGTGACTATAACATCTGTGTTTAAACTTCAGCTTGTCTAAACATCAACATTTATTAATATTCTTCAGACATAGAAAAGTGTCATACAAATATACTTTGAGACCATAACTGCTAGCCCTTCACAGTTCACAGAACTACTGCCATTTATATTTGTTCAGCAGGGATTTCCTACTATTTTCTCAAGGGAGCAATACACCACACTGAGAAATAAAGAGAAAGCCAATATGTAGAAATGAATGTCACATCTTGGAACAAGACTACATGTGTTTTGACATTGATTTAAGATTAAATTAACATTTTGGGGTCCAAAAACAAGTCTGAAGTGGAAAAACAAAAAGAGAGAAGGAGATGAAAAAAGCAAAAATGGTCAGTCATGTTTTGTTTCAAAACTATCATATGGTAGGTAATAAGGGAGAAAATGAAAGCTACTCATCATAATGGGAAGAAAAATAATGAAGATTTTGCTGAAGTAGAAGAGGCATACATTAGCACCACTCAGAATAGCTTGGTCTGATAATCTCATTACTGAGGATTTCGTTATGAATGAATTTGTCTCTATGGTTAGCGTACCAGAAGAAATTTTTGCAATTTCTTATTTTGTAAACCAAATGTTTGTAAACTTGTTTGGCAAACTTCAGTTAATATTACTGTACAGTACTCGTGTAGAGTATGTTCAGGAAATCTAGGATCTTCTCAAATTTTCTGAATTACCTTTATAAATTCTACACTAAAATGTGCACATGCACACACAACTTAAACGATTTGAAACAGCATAAAATTAGCTCAGAATTATAAACCATAAGTGTGAGAAGCAACAAAAGATTGTGCATTTTTGTGTTTCTAAAAGGTATAACAGTTTACTATCTCAGACCAGGATCCAATAATACTTTAGCTCACACACACATACTTTAGTACAGCAAGTACAGCCACATCCACACTTTTAAGAGACCTGTCTTCAGCAGTGAGTCAATTGCTGAAATCCCTCAGGAACAGATAAATCTTTTTCATTATAAAACCCTGGATGAAGTGAAAGCTAGAAATTGAGAAGATCTATTTGAGATAAATTTGCTTTTATGTAATTGTCAACAATCTAATTTCCAGCCTTAAAAATCATTGTGAAGCTTTTCGATGAGACGTATCTATTTCCACAGAAACCCAACATGATGGCTGAAAATAAGACTGAAGAAGCATGCAAGTCACTCACTGAAGAAGATGATCATGCCGATGTCACAACAGATTTGTATGAAATGAAAAGTCTGAAAACAACTGATTTGGCCAGCTTTGGAGATACTATTTGGGAACTACCGAACCTCTTAAACAAGATTCATAAACTCACATCAAATGTTTATGTAGTTCCTTTACTGCCTGGGAGCGATTGTAGCTGAAGCACAGATGTCATTCAGCTTCGTGGCTGACCTTTAAAATATGCTCAGGTGTCAAGATTACCTAACAGATCTGGGACTTTTGCCCATTTAATAAAAACTTAAAAGAGAAAATTAATAACTGAATGTATGATTGAAACATCTACTAATAGAAAAGCCCACAATGCACAGTTAAAAATGCCGTATAGTAGCAATCAGTCGTAAACAGTATATTTTAATCGAACATATTAACACTACTAATTCAGTAACTGAGTCATGTATTAGTGCTCACAAATGTTACATTTACTTATTTTGGCTTTCTGAACAGTGTTGTTATTAACTATCCAGTTCCAGTGGCAATGCTGGTTGGAAGGTTCTGAGAGTTGTAGTCTCAAAATCTAACGTTTCCATTCATTTTAGGCCAGCCTAAAATCACTGGTATCACTGGTATCATTAGTTACGTGTATCATGGATTACACTCACCACAATGTTGTTTTCATTATCCTCAGATGGTGGGTTTGCTGTTCTTTCAAGCCGCTCAATTCATTTATTCATGTCTCCTCCTTGATGTCCCACTTGATGTTTCTTTCTCCCTGGTCTGTAACTTTTTTTGCCTGCACTTCTGTTGCTAGGTGACCTATTATCTTTGTGTGTGTGTGTGTGTGACCCGAACTCATTTTGTGACAGCAGACACACAGCCCTATTAAAAATGGGCCCGTAACTACAGCAATCATTTTAATACAATTTTGAAATTACTCGCCTTAACTGCAGGATGTAGTTAAAGGTTGGATGGGTGCCTCTCAGGGATGCTTTAGCTATGCTTCACGGTTTGGGGGTTAGACTAAGAGTCCACTTTAACTGCCCTGGTTCAGTGGTAGGGAATCATGGGAATTGTATTTTTTTCTGAGACATTGAGCCTTCTCTGTCAGAGAGCTCTGGTGCCACAATAAACTACAGTTCCCATGATTCTCTAGCACTGAGCCAGGGCAGTTAAAGTGGACTCAATTTGCATTATTTCTGGCAGACTGCAAAGGCCCAAAATGGCCCTCTGGGACCTTAATTGTAAATACACCACTATTTTAAAGTATGTGTTTTCATCCATGAAGCATTAACAAACTGCATGACCTATTTTTAAAAAAGCATTTGTAATATACTTAACTGCAGTTTGAGAAGACAGTGTGAACGTACTGTCGCCAATGTACACAAAAGCATTTGTATCAAAATAGCAATTTATCATTATGGTCTCCAACATTTATATCTAATTAAAATATAAAATTTCATTTATGTTTGACATTACATTTCATCCATTCTCTAATTAGGTTCTGTTTGCTAAATGTGGAGTTTATGTTATCTCCGAATTGTAAACCAGAATATAAGCCTTGGCTGTGGTCCAAGGAAACCATTTATACAGAGCTTGCTCTACAGTTTCCACTGCTACAACTCCCACAACTGATAAAGAAAGGTTTAGAAGTAACATCTTGCCAGCTCAAGCTTGGGAGCTTAAGCCATGGTTACTGCTCTAGAACAAAGTTTTGATGGTCACAGCTGAATGATGATTCCCATTGCATTTTTCAGACACTTCTCTCTGTTGCTTTAATGAAACAGCGAGATGGTATGTTGTGTATCTTGTAGAATCATAGAATCATAGAATCATAGAGTTGGAAGAGACCAC